GTGTTACGCACTGTTGTTAGCTGCCATGTGGTTACTGGGAAGGAACTCCGGTCCTCTGCAAGAGCAGCCAGTGCTCTTAACTGCTGAGCCATCTCTCCAGTCCCTTACTATTTCTTTTCTTTTAAAAAAAAATTTATTTTTTTAAACAGGGTCTCCCTGTGGCCCCACCTGGCCTGGAACTTGCTATGCAGATGAGGCCGGCCTCAATCTCATGGAGATCTACCTCTCACGTGCTGGTATGAAAGGCATATGCCACCATGCCCAGCTACCTTTTAAAAAATTTTAAATGTATTTTTATTTTGTGAGTGTTTTGCCTGCATGCATGTAAGTGCACCACATGTGTACAATGCCCAAAGAGGCAAGAAGATGGCAATTGGATCTCCTGCAACTGTAGTTACAGATGGTTGTGAGTTACCATGTGGATGCTGGGAACTGAACCTGTATCCTCTGTAAAAGCAGTCAGTGCTCCTAACTGCTGTGCTGTCTTTCTAATCCCAGCTCACTATTTCTTTAAGACAGATGTGAGGTTAATTCAGAGGACAAGGTCATTAGGGGAGAAAATTTCCAAGTTGGAACTTTCTGTCCCAGCTTACTTTGAGACTTCTCTGTGTTGGGGCCTGTGAAGTAGAGATGAGTGCTGCACTTTATTTAAACCTTTAGAAGCCTTAGAAATTCCCCCAAAGAGCCTTCCAGCTAGTCGACCATCTGAGAGCAGCTGTGGGCGTCTGCAAGAAGCTGGGATTCTGGAAAAACCAGGGGTTACAACCAAAGGCCACTACTTAATCAGGTCTGTCATTTTGGGAGGGCAATGTGTTCAGCTCTACTGAGTCTCTGCAAATGCTACAAATAACCCTCCTGTCTGTACATTACTCCCAAGTCCTCTAGTGTCCCCAGGACCTGCCCATCGATTTGTTAAGGGTTAAAGAGAACAATTGGAGGAGAAAGGGGGTGGAGAGTCTCTGCATGCCTTTCCCTCTCTCTGTGGGTGTCAACATTGCTGACAGAGCACTACACCCTGCGGCCCCCAGTGATGGGCTTGTTTTGAAACTGGGAAGGGGTCAATGGGTCACTTAGGAAATTTCTCACTAAAGGACTTAAGAAATCAGACTTTAGTTTGCAGCCATTCAGGCAGCTTATAAACAATGTCTAGGCTTACAAAGTCACCTAGGTTCTGTCCCTGACTCCTTGGGTGACCTTGCACTGATATCACAGAGGTTCACAGCAACTAGATGCACACAGGTACTGGGCTTGGGAGCACTTAGCACATAGCTGGTACAGATACCCCAGGAGGAGCAAATCATCTTTTCACAGAAACTGGACACAGAATAGAGAGGTGTGTCACTTTCTCCAGCTGGTAAGGAGCAAAGTGAGAACTGGAGCCCAGGGGGCCAGACCCTTAAGCATCACGCTCACCCATACTGTTACATAATTTATCTCTAAGTCATCCAAGGTTCTCTCTGGCTCTCACTTGCTTTTGCTCCTTTGACTTGCAAGTAACTGAAATTGCCACCCAACCCCGTGTCTGTTCAGGACACAAGAGTGACCAAGCTTGAAAGAGAACCCCTGCTCTACTGCGAATGGCCTTGGGGCCTGGACAGTTCACTCTCATGGTCTCCAACACTTGGCAAGCCCAGGACCAGTTCCAGAGATGGCATAACCACGCCACACTCCAGGGCATTGCACTCGTCCCTGGAGTGGCCCGGGGACAGCTGTGGAGAGGGGCTGTGCCCGGCCCTCAGCAGTG